TGCGCCGGAATTGTCCTTTAAAACTATAGCGCCAATGGCTTCTGTATCAGGAGTACGGTGGGTCACTTGTGTATGTACTATCTGCCCTGACAATGACATTTACATTTAATACTGATAAGATTCTATTATTTCTTTCTCAGTTCCCTAGGGCATATTACTCTGTCAGCTATCTGTTCCTTTGTAGTTTGACTAATCTCTTTTTTGTCAGAGCGAGGCTGTGGCGGGTAAACAGAGAGAGAAGGAGTCAAAAAGTGTGAGAGAAGTACAGCTAGAACATAAGAGGTATGTACAACATTTATATTTCATTTACATGAAACAATTTAAGTCTCTGACTATGCAACATAAAAACAATTTTGTAAAATGCATCAGAGCACAGATATAAGACTGAATACAAACACTGCCAAAAATGGAGTTAAGATTAATCGTTTGTTTTGTTCATCCTTTTGGAATAAAACCAGTAGAGGCTGGCTGGGTCGGTGAATGTTAAGTGTGCTGTGCGCAGTTTACTGGCCTCACTATATTTCAATGGGCATACAAGTTTAACAAGCTGTCAAACACATCCCGTCTCTGCCATTTAGAGCCTGCCAGCATGTCGAGTTATAAAGTACAGCAATAGTTAGTTTTACGTGAACCATTTTTTTGATTCATTATATTTTGACAGGGTGAACTCTGCCTTTCTGGACAAACTCGTGGGTCGAGGCAGAGAGAGGGAGAGGGAGACAAAGGGGGAAGGCACTCAAGAGGCAGAGTATCCCTGTTTTGCCTCTGAAGACTTTGGACACCAGCCGCTGAATACCCCAGGACAACAACGGCCCCTCACTCACCTGGACCCAGCTCCAGAACAGAGCTGCTCCAGTTGGACGGAGGAGGCAGGTGAGCTGAGAGTGTATGGGTGAATAACCCTGTCTACTGTTTCTCACACCTTTTTTTAGTCCTGCTCAACACTGGTTAACCAAACCTAAATCAGACATGTGACAGGAGTTGCCCACCTCATCCTTTCTTAGAGGACTGTGATTGTCTGTTTAGTCTGCGTTAAGTCAAAGGCTTTAGGTGCTTCAGAAATGTAGGCAGCAGGAAGTTATGTGTGCTACGTAGTGATACTGTAGCTCCTGGCATTCAAATCCTGCTGATACTTGTAGTTTGTTGGAAATGTGTGTGTGTGTTTAAGAAAAAGTATTTTCCCTTCTTTCTGGGCACAAACCTTTACTTACTATGGATTGAGCAATATATCAAACACATTTAAGAATGTGAGTTTGCAGACAGGACCCACAGAACAAGCGCATAAGAGGCTGACACCTACACACACAAACATACTCATTAAGCTTCTGTCAGTCAGAGAGGGAAATTCTCCAGGAGCGCTGAACCCAGGCTCGACTGACAGACTCTCTGCCTGCAGCCAGACAGACATGCCAAGAGGAGCAGTCCTGCCCTTATATAATTGGCCTGGATTGACATACTGAGTTTGATACCTGACTGGCTGCCATACACTTATGAATACCTGCCACTCACAATGGAAGAAAGAAAACACAAAACAGAGAACGTCATGTTCATTACCTACTGTACTTAAGCACTTCCTGCTACTGCACGCAGGCATGCTACATGGAATGAAATTCTTTTTGATTGGTGGGGGAAAATTGATGAGTTGATGGGTTTCTATAGACAGTAGTAAAAGATAGAGCATACATGTCATTGTATTGTTGAAATGTTTGAGGAATTGGTGTTTGGAGTGAAAGTGTTAAATCAGCTTTGTCATTTACACAGTATAGGGATCTTCTCTTCACACTAGAGTAGTAGACTCAGATTGTTAGTAGATAACCCACATTCACTAGCTTATTGTTGTGGCTAATGCCTAGAATTTATGTTAACCAAGCTACTTTGTTGAAATAAAATATCTTATAAAAGCTTAGAGGGCATACTAAACTATTTCTACTGTACTAACCATTATACTGCTTGGAGAATGACCAAGTTTATTTAAATGACATTCAAGATTCAGGGAGCTTGACATTTTCAATTGACAGTTAATTGTAAATAGAAGTAGGGAGGCACGATATTTTTCAGGGCAGATAAATTATCGGCCGATAATGGGAAATTTATGTTATTATAAGTTATCCCGATAATGCAATTACAGCCGATAAATGATCGGTCCATAATAATAATAGGTTGGCAAGTATGGGTAGAGTATAATTCAATAACTGCATGTGTCTTCTGTTGAAATGTCCATACTAAATGAACAGAGAGACTGCCAAGCATACAGTAGCACTACAGCTTCTGTATTTTCCTCTGTCTGGTAGTGAGGCTTTGGGGCTACCTTATAGCTCACTAGCTGCCCATCTAAACAGCAGCCACAGCGGGGCAATTTCACCAGTCCGAGGTTAAAGCTAAAATACCAAAGAATATTTCAAACCTTCAGTCCTGGCACTGCCGCTGTGGGCACAGTTCTGCATATTGGAATCCCACAACATCCTCAATCAATTTAAGGTTGTATCCGCCAGCCCCAGTCTATATTTTACCAGTGTGCTGATCAGGTCTTTCTGTTCTGTCATTACCTGCCCGAAGCAATCTCCTGCCTGGTTTGGTGATGGCCTCTCTAGTCCATCCCTCACTGTTGCCGGGCCTCCATTTCTAATTATCGGGCCCTGGGACTTGACCATCCTGTGGCAGAAAGAACCACTGGGAGTCCAATCCCGGACGGTGTGGGTACTTGTAGGGAAGAAATGCCAGACACAAGAACTTTCATGCTTTCTGCAAAGAAATGACTGCAGCGTTTGGAACTCCACATTTCTCAGTCTTCTTTTAGTGCATTCACCTGAGAAAAATGTATTTTGTCCAACAAAGCAGATTGTTCTGGCTCATCCACAAAAAGAAAATAATCAAATATGTGATAAGACCTCCAACTGTTATGCATAAGAATGAGAGAAGATGTTCTTAACTGTATGTCATGACAAGCAAATAACCTTTCAGCAGGGACCTTGTGGGACCAATAATGATTCAATTGGGCTCTATGAGGATTATTGCTTTCCTGTGTCCTTTCCAGACCCAGAGCCTGACTATGACTGGGCCTTGATGAAACTGATGAACAGCTTTCCAGACTGCTCCAAGGTCTTCCTAGAAGACATCCTTAACCAGTGCAACGGAGATTATGAGCAGGCCTACACACTACTCATCAGCGCACTAAGTTGAATTGTGTGTATCTTTACTGATAGGACTGTCTTTCCTCTTAATATTGTGTTTGACACTTTGGGAGTCGTTCCAAATGAAAATGTAGAACCGGTGTTCAGATGATAAAGAATAGCTAGAAGTAAGTTATGTACCTTGGTGGTGGATGAATGTAAATAGCTATGCTGCCTGCACCACACAACTGCATTAAATATATACAGTACCTAGAGGGCAGTATGTGCTTCTTTGTAATCTGTTTTTGATTATGCCATTAATCATTGAGTGTTTGGTGTCTTGTATCTGTCTGCATGCACCAGTGAGTCATGTCGGGTTTTTGCCCTGACATGGAGTTGAATTGATGTTCGTTTTCACCAGTTTAGTTGAAGGTCATCGCCATGACTCATAATCTTAAGATCATATTTGGGGTTCCTAATTGAATCAGTATGTGCAGATGGAAGAGAGCTCTATCCAAATACATGATGCTTTTTGTTTGTTCTATAATCAAAGTCGTATGTGATGTATCTATAGCAGGATTTTTCAGGACAACAAAAGATGCAAATCAAAATGGGATTTTCTGTAGAGAGGCCTTTTATGACAGTTCATAGTCACAATAGCTTTAGAGGTCTTCAATAAAACACCTTTTCGCTAACTCTGTTTATGACTGTGTGTCGTAGTATGTCAAACCATTCCCTTTTATCAGTGTGTTATATCAAGCTGGGTGGGGTTTCCAGGTGGGCAGGGGGCGCAGAGCTGGCAGCCTCATAACACCGCTGAGCTGGACAGCAGAGATGGTTATCACCTGACAGAGGAAACAAAGAACAAAGGGTGGTGCTCCCCATATGGGGGACTAAAAATCCCCCTCTGCTGTGGTATGAAGTCATGCACTGAGTGTTTCACTGCTGATGTCATCAAACAAATGTCCCTCTGGAGATTAACAACAAACTCAATGGCAGTTCTGAACTCATGAAGATAACACTACTGGATATAACTAACAAAAGTATAAAGCTCTTGGTGATGCAGGGTTTCTGCAGGTTAAATTTAAGACTGTTTTAAGTCTATAATGGCAAAAAGGTATTAAGGATATGAAGGAAAATCAGTATTTGTTCCATGTCGGTTTAGTTTTGTAGTTACAGCACAATCAATACATTATCCAAACCACATGCAAAAACACATGTATGCAACTTTATCTTCCTCCTCTCTGGCTAATATTAGAGCTTATGTCCTTAATAAAACCATATGCTTCACTGTCCTTACTTTTTACAAATCCTTAATCTGCTACCAAATCAGTCAAGTCATATTTTTGTTGTCAGAAATTCTTTGTAAGGTTCTTATTCAAATTAAACTTACCTACACATTTTCTAATATCTCAAATATGTACACCATTTTGCCACAACCTTGCCTTTGCCCTAATATTTGTGACATTGGTGCTTAAATGACTTCTAATTAGACAAGTTTGGATCTTTTGGTTAATTAAGCAGTTAAGCATTAAGTACAATCTACCAGAGTCTAATTTGTTTTTGTTACATGAAGCTTAGACACTTTGTGAGGGAGAACATTTCCCACTTTGAGTCACTCTTTTATGAAAAGCTTTCTGTTATACCAGAGTTCGAAGCTTATCACCAAATTTGTGAATTTCTTTACTTAAGATTCTGAACCTGTCAACTGTAATAATTAGGCTTGGGGAAGGGAAATTAATACTGTGTTGCCTGAGAAAAACTCTTCATGGTCATTGCATACATCTTACCCCCGTTTCTCCAATCTGTGATAAAGTCCAATGATGGTACACTGTTGCATTTATTTTGTAACTGTCCACTAATCTCTCCATTTTGGTCAAGATTTTTTCTCATTATTTCTGGGGTTTACCACAGAACTCTCTTCTGACAGGGAACTGGCTCTTTTTGGATGCTCAGAGTACTCTTCACTCCTCCCTCACACATTCAAACAGCTCCACTGATGGGCACAAGACTAGCAAAACAATTACTTATTCTCAAAGACTGGAAGACTCCTACTGCACGCACGTGCTTCAGAAACTGGTGTAATGAACTTGTTTCGGTAACAGAATAGGAGGAATCTTTTGTGCAATACATAAGCGTGTTTGGGTTGGGCCTTGGGCACAGATCTGTTTGTGGTCTATGAAATGTGTCAATTAAAATAATATATATATATATATATATATATATATATATATAAAACGACAAAAGACAGCTCTAT